ATGTATATGTATATATATGTATTGTATATATATGTATATGTATATATATGTATATGTATATATATATATAATATAATATAATATATACACACATTCATTCATTCATTCATTCATTCATTCATTCATTCAAGGTGAAGTGATTTTACTTTTTTACAGCATTTCAATTGAAGTCTGAAGTTGGACATTGGGACTGGGGCACTGACCGCTGGTCTGACCGTGAATGAATGGACAAAATGGCTGGCTCTGATGCTGGCAGTGATCTGGTGAAATCCTTTATGATTAAGGGGTTAAACTAACAATGTTATTGAGCGGGAGATTAATAATCATGATATATATTTATTGAATACTTGGATTATTAAAAGCACGCATATAACTGAATGTTCAATGTACATGTTTAAGTGAGGAACTTTTGCACATTGTATTTATATTTTGAACTGTCACACTGACATTTTAAATCATTTTTAAGTTTGTTATTATGGTTAAATGATAAAACATTTCTTTGGCTTCATAGAAACATTTTCATTTAATCTGTACAGTTAGCTGTCTACAAGCTTACAATACAGTGCTGCCCATTACTTTATAACAGTTTCCCATCTGGGAGGGGGAAAAAAAACAATCAGACAATTTACAGTATTTACGACTGAAGCAACAAGGAGTTGGTGTGTGTTTGTGTGTGCTTGTTTTTCTGTGTGTCAACTGAATCATCTGAATGTAAGTTATTACAAACAGTAATCCTGCTGTAGGGCCATATATTTGTGTACAGTATGTTGATTTACCTTGATCAGTTTGTGTTAACCTCAGAAGGGGAACTATTATTACATTGTAAATGTATGCAACACATATAGTTATTCTAATTTTTTTTTAAACTGTAACAGTAGAACAAAAATACAGGGAATTAAGTTTATTTTTAGCAAAGAGGGAAAGAAACTTTTCCGTTCAGGTACTTAAGTGTTCTATTCTACAGAACGGACTGTACTGTCAATAAAAATAAATACATAAACACTCACTTGTTTGCCTTATTCAGCATATAATAGTGTGTGCTGTGCACAGTCCAACTCAACCTTTGACAGGATAGGAAAGTTTAGCTGATTTTATACCTCTGGTTCAATGATTTTGTTGATTGAATTGATTTCTGTAGAGATCTGGGAACAAGATGTCAACCCTGATGGGCCATTAAGTACCCGTGGATCACTCCTAGTAATAAGGCTGGGTAATGTTGAAATCATTATCACATTAATAAGAATTATTTTGATATATGCCACAAAATGGCAAATTCATGAAAAATCAAGCTACAACACCCCTACTAGGCAATAAATAATATTGAATTACTGACTCCTTGCGTCTGCCACCAGACTTCTGCCTCTTGTCCAGGCCTCTCTTATGCTCAACCTCTCCAAGCTTTCCCCACACCCCTCTTACTTTTCCATTCACAACACTGGCGCCCTGTCTGAGATTGCATTCAAGTATGCGGTGCAGGAAAGGGAGCTGCTCCTTCCCGCCTCCAAGCCATTAAATCAAACCGTACACTCCAACACTCATTTGTCTCCACTACCTCATTTTTCTTTGGGTACAAATGAGCAGGAAAATCAGTTAGAGAGAAGAAGACATGAAAAATGTCGTAGCTTAAAGGTACACCGGTCCACTCTCATGCCACAAACAGTGACACTTACAGCTTTGTAGACTTGACTGCAAATAACACCAAGATCCAATAAACACATTAACAAAGAGAAGGTGGCGCCATACCTGTGTGCATTCAGAGGTGGGTCCGAGACCAACATTCACAACTGAAACCATCATAAAAACCTACTCTGGCAGGTCTCTTTTACACTGATGTCTTTCATGCAGTTATCTCACTATAACCTGCAGCACACAGTTTCTCCACTGTAATCTGCCTTCACCGGTTACAATAAAACTATAATGTATGTAATCATCTGCTCTTAAAATACTATCTGCATGACCAAATCCTCCCTCTTTCATCTTCATATCCTATATTCTAAAGTTGTGATTAAAGAAATGTCTCAGTTCATACATATAATATATTTATTGGTTCCTGTCAATAGCACAGAAGATTAGATAGAGGGCAATGAGTAACTTTTGCAGCTCTTGCCGTTCAGTTGCAGCTTTATTCCACAGGGAGGCAGTGTGTCTCAGAGAACAGAACTGACAGCTGGCGTAAACACAAACCACAGCCAAACCCTAAGCCTGGAAAGGAAAAGAAAGCAAACTATCACTGAAGGATTATGAAATGCATCAAATGTTGGTCTAGCAAACCCATATGTGCTCCCTCTGGCCTCAGAATGAGGTTCAGCAGATCTTTCTCCAGGGCTTCTCCTCCATCCTGTCGTTGCTGCAGGGTGTCTCAGTGAAGACAATCAGTCACCACACTGAGTGCACACTCTCTTTCTGTTCAGTTATAAACTAATGTCACTGATGCAAAGGAAATAAGTAACTCAGCAGTTTGATATCGGAAACATACTTATAGTTAGTTTTTATTGGCGTATCTGTTTTTGGCAAATAAGATGGAGATTTGTCATGTGAGGGACTCTCAGGGGAGATTTGTTAAAGATGTAGCAAAGAGCAGTGATTACATCCTCTTTCTTAATAAACTGATTCCCCGAACCAGAAGTTGCAAAAGTAGAGAGACCGAGTGAGAGATGATGGAGCCACTCAGACGACAGAAAGCAAGACTGCTCTCTAACTGAACATTGTGAATGAAAATGAAGAGAGGGGACATATGGACATATGGATGCAGGCAGCAGTGGATGGTTATGAAATGGTTTTTGATGCTTAGTGGAGGACTAGCAGGTGTGTGCAGTCCCACAGGGGAAATGAGAACATTCTGCAGAGTTGAGTCAGTCAGGACAGAAAAGTAAAGACAAGCAATAAGAATGAGATGATAGCAGGGAAAACTTTTTTTTGCCCCTGTCATGTCTCGGTCAGCTTGCCTGGTGATGCTATTTTCTGTGCATGTTGGTCAGTATATTATGTGTTGTAATCTGTGGAGGAAAGCGATTAGATGGAGCAACAAGAACGCAGCAGATCACGCAGAGTCCATGCAGTTCTGAAGATCACTGTTACTGCACAATGAGTGGACATCATAAAGATAACAAAGTATGCTCTATGGGCTGCCTTTACAACTGGTTCATAGAAACAACTTACAGACGTGGGACGTGGGTCCTGAGGTAAAGAAAGTTTCGATCTCCAAGGACTCCTCTACTTACGGCTGCTGTGCATGCTTCAAAGCCTGAATTACTCAAGAGACTCTTGGGCACAGAGTATTAGCAGCTGCTCAGAAAGAAGGTCCACTTCAGTAACAGGATGTGGACTGATGTCTTCAAGAGGTGTGAAGCATGATGGGATGCAGAGCCAACATCTTTTAGCAATGATCCTTCACACGTTGGCCAAAAGGAAGGTTTTTCAGCTTGTATAATCAGCCCAAATGCTGCCATGAGCCTGAATATGTATCTGTGAACACAGCAGTGTTGTGTTTGTGTTATTTCTTTGGAAAGGACACTGGTCATTTAGCTTCCTCTGCCAAATGAAGATCTGGAGAAAATAATTCGGGAGAGATGAGGCCATGATGTTGAAGGAATTTACTGAATCCAAAGGCTTTATGACTTTGATGATTCTGAGCTTTTATCTAGCACCACCTACAGGTCAATGTTTTTAATTATCCTGTGAAATGTCACCATCTACTAAACTGTACAACCATGAGGTTGACATTTGTGGTTTTATATGATTGTCTGTGACAGTGGATGGATTGTCATTACACTTGTTTCAGACACTGATGTTCTCCACAGGGGGAATTATAATAACTTTGGTAATTCCTTAGCTTTTCATCAGATCCAAATTTTGACTTTTGAAAAACTGATGACATGCCTCATTCTCACCTGTACTTAGTGTTTAGTGCTTACTAAGAAACCTTAGCATGCAAACACCCTAAACTAAGATGTTGAACATAACACCTTCTAAACAGGAGCATGTTAGCATCACCATTGTGAGCA